CGTCATACATTTTACACATTTATTCAAGTTAATGTGTCTGTGATGAATAAAAGTATTAATTTCTTTATTTTTTTAAATCTTACTTCCGCCAAACTTTTGTAGTTTCCACAAAAATGTTAAAGACATGAATAAATCTTAATTCTGCCTTTTGAGCAGTAGTGTACAGTATATAGTTTACTGATGTAAATGATGATGTTGTTTTAGGTTCTGTGGGCTTGATGAAGGAATTGTATCTCTGTATGACCGTGTGTTTGTGTGACTGTGTTCCTCAGCAGCTCCTGATGTCTGAAGATCTCCTGTAATTGATGATCGCCGCGGCCGTCCAGCCCAGAGCCATGAGCCACACTTCCTGCTGCGTTCTGCTGAGCATCTCGCTCGCGCTCGCCTGCCACTGTGAGTATCAGTGACCCACATCAGACTATCAGTCCTTCAGCCCATCAGCCCTTCAGTCCATCAGCCCTTCAGTGCGTCAGGCCATCAGCCCTTCAGCCCATCAGCCCTTCAGTCCATCAGTCCTTCAGCCCGTCAGTCCATCAGTCCTTCAGCCCGTCAGTCCATCAGCCCGCCAGCCCATCAACCCTTCAGTCCATCAGCCCATCAGTCCGTCAGCCCTTCAGCCCATCAGTCTATCAGCCCTTCAGTCCATCAGCCCGTCAGTCCATCAGTCCTTCAGCCCTTCAGTCTATCAGTCCTCCCAATATTTTTGTGGAAAACGTCATACATTTTACACATTTATTCAAGTTAATGTGTCTGTGATGAATAAAAGTATTAATTTCTTTATTTTTTTAAATCTTACTTCCGCCAAACTTTTGTAGTTTCCACAAAAATGTTAAAGACATGAATAAATCTTAATTCTGCCTTTTGAGCAGTAGTGTACAGTATATAGTTTACTGATGTAAATGATGATGTTGTTTTAGGTTCTGTGGGCTTGATGAAGGAATTGTATCTCTGTATGACCGTGTGTTTGTGTGACTGTGTTCCTCAGCAGCTCCTGATGTCTGAAGATCTCCTGTAATTGATGATCGCCGCGGCCGTCCAGCCCAGAGCCATGAGCCACACTTCCTGCTGCGTTCTGCTGAGCATCTCGCTCGCGCTCGCCTGCCACTGTGAGTATCAGTGACCCACATCAGACTATCAGTCCTTCAGCCCATCAGCCCTTCAGTCCATCAGCCCTTCAGTGCGTCAGGCCATCAGCCCTTCAGCCCATCAGCCCTTCAGTCCATCAGTCCTTCAGCCCGTCAGTCCATCAGTCCTTCAGCCCGTCAGTCCATCAGTCCTTCAGCCCGTCAGTCCATCAGTCCTTCAGCCCGTCAGTCCATCAGTCCTTCAGCCCGTCAGTCCATCAGTCCTTCAGCCCGTCAGTCCATCAGTCCTTCAGCCCGTCAGTCCATCAGTCCTTCAGCCCGTCAGTCCATCAGCCCGCCAGCCCATCAACCCTTCAGTCCATCAGCCCATCAGTCCGTCAGCCCTTCAGCCCATCAGTCTATCAGCCCTTCAGTCCATCAGCCCGTCAGTCTATCAGTCCTTCAGCCCATCATTCCTTCAGTCCATCAGCCCGTCAGTCCTTCAGTCCATCAGCCCATTAGTCCTTCAGCCCATCAGCCCTTCAGCCCATCAGCCCATCAATCGTTCAGCCCATTAGTCCATCAACCCATCAGTCCATCAATCCTTCAGTCCTTCAGCCCACCAGCCCATTAGTCCGTCAGCCCTTCAGCCCATCAGTTTATCAATCCATCAGCCCATCAGTCCATCAGTCTGTCACATAAATGCATTTACAAAGTCAGTGCATAATTGTTAAAAATTCTGATTTACAATTATTTATTTGGTGTATTTTACATTTATTTTTATTTGTTTTTCATTTGATTCCCTACTATTTCAGTTTAAATAATCTGTTACAAATTTCAGTTTTTTAAGTTCAATATAGAGATATTTCCAAAGTCATTGCATAACCATGTTAAATAATAATTTTAATTGATTTACAATATTTTTTATTTAAGTTTTTTTATAAATTGTTTTTCAGAATTAGATTCAGAATTATATATAAAAAAACAATCAAATCCACTGTAAAAATGTCTTATTTCAAAAATTTATTTTTTAATTCAATAACTGCACAGTATTTCCAATGCAAAATCATGTTTAATAACATTGTTGAAATGGTTTTTAAAAATGTAAAAGTTCAGTAAATGCATGTTTCCAAAGTTACAACATAGTCATTTTAAATAATCATGATCTCAGTATTGACCATAATACTAATATTTTTGTGATAATCCAGCATAATATCTCTAATCTGAACACTTCAGTCACTCTTAGACTAAAAATATCTGCATGTCATTCTTCATACAGAAAAATGCTCAAACTCATTTAATGTTTTTGCAGTGATGTTCTCATTCCACTCATACTGTAAAATCAATCAGGCAGAAATAGAGATGTATTCGGTCATTCTTGGATGTTATAATGAATCAGGACTCAGAAGCTCATCAAGCATCTACAGATGATGTGTTTTCTGTGCTTTTCTTTCAGTTTGGTCAGTGTGTGCTGATTTCCCAGCAGTCTTTGGAGGTGAGTCTCAACTGTTTGTTTACAATGTGATTCAATGATGTTTATTTCAGTTAATCTCATCCCAATATATGAAACCATGTTGTGCTTTAAGTTTGGACAAATGTTCAGATGGAAGCCTGGTTAGTTCACGCTGAGACATTACAACAGTACGAGCTGCTGAAGGACTGTCTTCATACACAATTACATAATAATCATACACAGATTTATGTATTAACCGAAAACAAGTAGGCTGAAGCCTTTTTACGAGGGCCTTGTGAAATCTGTTTTATTTTTTCCCGAATTCCATTTTTTTTCTTCTTGATTTTTTGCCCCCTTTTAATTTTTCTGGATTCCATTTTAATGGTTTAATTAGTTTATAATAATCAAAAAGCATTTCTAATGACTTGAATTCATAAAACTTTAACAATTTAATCACTTATTATTATTATTATTATTTTTTTTTTTTACAATAAAAGGCACATATGAAATGTTTTATTTTTTGAGAATTCCTGCGTTGTCCATTTTCATTTGTCTGGATTTTACCTTATTTTACATAATAAGCATTGCATAGTATTTGTCTCTAAATTTAATTTATACAAAAAGATACAAAAACAAAACAGTTACTTGAGACCTTTATACACAACTGTAAATGGCAGAGTTCATAAACGAATGCAGTTGTTTGAAGTATTTGATGTACAGATGATTGATTCAGAGTGGTGTATTTGTTCTTCGCCTCCAGTGAAGTGTGTGTGTGTGTGTGTGTGTGTGTGTGTGTGTGTGTGTGTGTGTGTGTGAGAGAGAGA